TTCATTTCTAGATACTCAAACGCCGGAGTACCCTTTCTCATCGATGTTCCTATACAGCTATATAAATCTGTAGCGTAAATTTAAATTCCTCGCACAGCAGCCTAGACCCACTCGTCGCTCTTGGCCCCACCTTCCTTTAACCACTCCTTTGGCAACTTTTTGGTCCATAGTTTTGTATTCCATTTTTTATTGCCCTACTTTTGTATGCCCCCCTTGCCCTGCTGCTGCGTCCGTTTGACCTTCTCTTCGATTTTGACGGCATTCCCTCCCTTCTATTTTGACGGCATTCCTTACCTGGGATTGGTCGTGTCTCGAGCGCTGTGCAACGAAAGTATTGTGCGTCCCTGTATGGTGTGCTACCTAGTTGATGTTTCTCTAATTGTTCGTTCCTCTCAATGCGTTTTACAGCGTTACCAGAACCAAATGTCAAAGCCTGGCGGTATCGATATCAGTACAGCTGCGAGATGAAAATATCTGACGTCAAGCTCGCCAGTAAGAACCTAATTTTCCAAATTTGTAATTGTGTAACCAACGTCTCTTGTACATATAAATTTGAATCATAGTGAAATTCTAATACCTGCAGTATTTCTCGCTATTACACATATGAAATTAATATCACAGTAACCAAGCTTGGCCCTTTCTTTATTTTTATTTTTATAATTTTATTTACTATATTCGGTCTCATTAGTTGGATGTGTAGTGGCAGTTGATACGGAGACTAGTCCCAAATGGACCTTGGTAGTGCAGGATAGGGGTTATTCTGGTTAGCTCTGAATCCACCCGGGTTTGGGTGGCTCATCATGGGCCCCTCATCCGCACCCCCCACGCACAAGAAACCTTGCGGCAGCGGCACCCCGAGCCCTCCGAACCCTCCATACGTCCCAAGCCGTGGATTTTCACGCGGCCCCAACAAGTACAAACCGGCCTCATGCGCCGATGGAATGGGGAGGAAGCTACGCACAACTGTATCCAGCCAGCGTAATAGAAACTGTATAAGATCTAACTTGAGATTGACTTTGAGCTTGATATGGCGTTCCTAATTCGAAGTTTATAGACCTGGAGCAGCTGCTCTTGGAGAATAACGCTACCTATTCCTCATAAAGCTTAGCGATACTTATATGCCGTTTTCAAAGTGACTGGCGAGCATCGCGCGTGGCTGAAAAATTCAGAGAGACTGTATATTCCTCTCTTAAATCTAAAACTCTGTTAAGCCTGTTTTTTAACATTTTTCACACCAAGGCCACTTTTTTAGTGTGATTCCCGGGTATGAATCTAGCAGAGATAAAAGTATCTCTTTCCATGCATCTGGAAAATATTCGGTGATTCTCCTCCTTATAGCTACTTGTTCAGCTAAACAAGAAATGAAATATAGAATCTTTGATGAAGTGCCATTTTAACGATCTTACTGGACATGGCTAAGGTCTGAAGAAGAAGCTGAATAATCTGCCTCCTCTCACTTGATATTATCCAGCCAACTTTAAATCAAGTAGGAAGTATAAATTGAAAAGTTATTGTACTCTAATAGTGTAGAGAAGTGTAAAGGATTTTCACCTTGGTAGTTTATAAATTCTTGAAGTGCAGTCTGAGGGGAAGAGCAACAGATGGTGGAGGTGATTTTGGGAGAGGATGGTAGTGATAACTTTACAAAGGATATAGAATTTTTTTTTCTTTTAAAAAAATCTATACTAAGGCTATGAGGCGGCTCCGATCCCTGATCTTTAAAGACTCGGTACACCCTCGGAACAACGGGCTAGGTACATCAAAGTCCTGCCTCCCGGGCCAAAGAAATCGTAACGGAAATAACCCCTGTCTCTTCCTCCACGCCCCTATGCCGGCCAGCACCCCTAGTAAATTCCGTCGCCACGCCCCTACCGGCCCTTCCCCTAATTACAAAAGAAATTCGTAAATCACCTTCCATCCTCGCCCTTCGTTTAGGTAAGATCAAGGTTGGAGAAAACGTCTCCACCAAGTCTACAGTTCACTCCTCTCCTCCATCTTTATCTCCTTCAACCACCTCCTTCTGCCATCCATCTCTTCCCATGCACCCCATCTTCTGCCGATTTCTTCTCCCCGTGTACACACCAGGGCTACGTGCCTGCCTGTCTCCACATATCGGCCACATGTTCTGCACGTTGGAAGGGATATAGGATGCGTCCGAAAAATTAGGAGATATTTTACAAGGAATTATCACTTTCGTCATGGGGAACCGATATCTCGCGCAGGGAAATATGTCATCTACAGCGTATTGGTGTCGTATAATTTTTGAATATCACAATACTATAAAGCCAGCTTCCTTGGCTCAGTTGGTAGAGCGTTGGTCTCATATAATACTATGACGCAATCATTAGATAGCGACATCCAAAGGTCGTGAGTTCGAGCCTCACAGGGAGCATTTCTTTTTTGTAGTACATTTTGCACAATGGTGTGAATTTTTCTAGTACAGCAACGGGGATACCTACCCTAGTACGGGTACCAATACCCCGGTATCCGCTACTCTTGCTTTCAGTAGTGGATTAGGCTTACTCCCTGCTCTATCTTCAAGGTCCCGGAGGCTCTTTTATCTCGGGAAATTGAGAGTATACAAGGAAGATATGGATTCCAAACACAGCAACACACAAGCTCATAGATTTATTTTAGGCTTCTCTCGGACCAATCCGAAGCGTTTATGTATATAACTTGTAAGAAAGTTTCATACCGGTCTTGGGCAATCGAGGTTCACTCTAGGTATGGTTATACCTCACAAACAATAGTCTTGAAATGACGTGCACTTTGGAGGATATTGACTGTGCTGACACTTCCGGAATCACTATCTCTGAAAACTCTTCCACCCGTATCTCAAGAGCTGCCGGCGGTGGTAATTTTAAAGCAGTATTCCCCAGTCTGATTGAGAGAACTATGTTATGTGACGCTGTCCTAAGAAAAATTGAAATTCTGTCACTTTACAAAGCAATTGGTGGATCAACGGGCCAGCGAGTGCGAACCCCACTGAGGGCGGAAATGAAGTTGGAAGTATTGATGAATCATTCAATACAAGTAGTACTGGAGTGTGATATTTATTTAGACCTCGACGTGTAGCCATAGCTAAGGCAGTGCGGTGTCTTGATAGTACCTGCACAAAATCCTTTGCCAGCAGTGGGGCATGCCTTTAGCTCAAGTTAATCTAGATGCTGCAGAAGGGTAACAATGCCCTATATACAGTAATAAGTTTATATTTGTGAATTTTTTGTGTGCGGGGACGCTGATTAATCCTTTTGGTCATTCCCATTTACTAGAATAGGAAGGCAATTGGCACAACGTCAATCTGTTGTCATTGCCGGGGATCAGCTAGTGATGTGTTAGTACCCTATACCTATTCTCCATTGAAACTGGTAGCTGTTCCTGTTCAAGGACGAGTTTGCTTATCAAGTCATTTCTTAACGAGATTGTGAAGTAGCTCCCTATCAACACAATTTTGGCCGTCAAGGCAAACTTGAAAATACTAGATTTTGGAGAACTAGCACGCGTTAGAAGCTTCCGTTACCGTAGAGTTCACACTGAAGTGATACCCCAGGTCCTGCTGCGGCACCATAAATTATCTAAAGCAATTGTCCATTAGACTCTACGCAAACAAAATTGCCCCCAATATCGGTGCCGGTGAAGTAAATTTCTGTATACAACCGGAGTTTCGCAACTTTCCGCAATCATATTTGCCAAAGCTGATCCATCAGCCGTTGAATTTCGGAACGTTTTGCTTCAGCGGCTTCGCGAGTAAACAATGGTTCAACCATGCTCTTAGGACCCTTAATCAGATGTTCCCAGATATGATCGAGTGGCAAGGTCACTCTTGCAATCACATTGACCCTTGGCTTTTTCTCTTCAGCGCCAGCGTTCTCATTTTGAAGTCAAAATCATATATCGAGCGAAATTGGAATAGCTTCAGAGTGACGGAGGCATTCTTTGTCAAGGCAAGCCTTAAGGACAGTTCATCATTTTTCTCTCTCTTCTGCTTGCCTCATGTATGATACGGTATCATACATAATAGTAGTGATCTAGGTCTAGATTTCAAAAGTGGATACTCCAGCTCCCATATAGTCTAGAACAGGTACCACCGGCGCTCCGCATCGCGCCTATTGGTTGCCAAGGAGCCGAGGTGCGAGCAAAAAAAAGATGCGAAGGAGTACAGTATCGGACGGTACAACCGGTCAGACGGTACAACCGGTCAGCTAACCTGACAAGGTTAATTCGCTATACACGGTCAAGCGCGCAACGAATATTAATATGCTACATACATGAAGATTTCTAAGGCAAGGAAGAATGAAGAGCTACAATTAAGTTGAAAAGTATGAAGACAGTTCTGAAAGGGTTCCAAAGGTTGACGAGGCTCTGGATCAATGCCAATACTGTTTGACCGGTCGCTTTTTTTGCCTTTGGAGGTTGGTTTAGTGACGGCCTTATTTTCCTTCTCTTGATCTCTTGCTTCCTTGCGGGCTGTTAAATATTCAGCAGTAGCCAATCGAGCTTTAGTAAGAACCCTCCTATCATGTTTACCTCCTCTTTGTTTATGCAGTTCGTCTTCTAATTCTGGTAATCCGGACCGATAGGCTTTCAAAGGCCTCTTGCAACCGTTGTTCACGTTTTTCAACTTCTTGACTGACGGGCATAACTTCAGCTTGTGTATTCTATCTACTCTCAAACTCACCGATTTTCTGCTATTTACATTTTGCGTGCACTGACTGTCTTGACTTCTGAATTATTCGTATTTTGACTGCCACGCCCACTTAATCCCACCTAGGTTAGCTGACCGGTTGTACCGTCTGACCGGTTGTACCGTCCGATACTGTAACCCGGACGAAATTATTGTCTGTTCGTCAACATCTGAATTTATTAGCTGTGTTCGAATATGCGCGCAACCATGGCCAGCCAGTTTATATCTTTATGGCATGACCAAATTTGATGATTGGAAGGCCTGCCACTGCAGTACTATACCGGGGCCTGGAATTTTTTTCTACCCGAAACATACCAGTTATTAAAAATATGAACTTATATGTCACTATTTAACGAGGGTATAGTGGATGACATTTTTATTGATCACCAGAGTTCTCATGTCTATCTGGTCCTGGAGATTTCAGAGCATTTTGAGGTTGATGTTTGGCTTCACCGAGGTGTTGTTGAAGGTCGATAATTTTCCAGTTTCATTCGCAGTCCAGGTGAACGAGGATGGAACTTGTAGTATTAGGGCACAACAGGATCCACAGTCTCTCCGCCGAAGCCAAATCCCGTGTTGTCTATCACAGACTATAAGGTGCAAGGGAGAATGTTCAATAAGGTTGCCATAGATTTCGAAGCTCCTAATCCAGCAGGTTCTTCAAGGCGCCGAGCTTACACAGCAGGATATATGGCGGCTCACTCACTGGGAGGTGGCATGTCTATCTTTGCTTCGTACGTTATTCGATAAAACCTTTTTTGCACGACCAGATGCTCTCAGAGCAGAAATGGCTAGTTTGGAGGGATTCGAAGCTTCAAGGAAATGCTACCGATTTTGAAGTACCTATTGCAGTCTCACTGATTGTTTTCTAATACTGTAGTCTGGTTGGCACAACACCCTTGTAGAGGATAATGTGGTACGGAGAAGGGCTTGGCAAGCTTACTAAGTCTTGGCGCAGGATTCTTCCTCCCTATCGCACTAAAGCCTGTGTACTACCTATTCACTTTGCCACTCCTGACAACATATCCCAGTAAGAGAGATGTTGATGGACACCATGGCGTACTGCACCCTCTCAAGCAGGCGATTCTAAAGGCAATTTCACTGGTCCGAAAGTCGATGAACCAAAGATCGAAGGACAACGTCAAATAAGAGGGTCTCTACAGAAAACCGGCATCTGCCGACGTACGCACGCACGTGTTGGCTGCCAATTGAAAATCCAGAATTAGGGTGGAGTTCATGCACGGGTCCCATGTTGATCAACAATTTTCCCGTGTACAGCAGCTTCATTGCTCTGATTGGCTGCAACAATCCTTTGGCCCCTGTCATTGGATGGCATTGTGGCGTTGTTGCGGAGTTGGGTAGCCAAGCCAGCTGAGCTTCCCATCCATTTTCACGTGTATTCTGAGTCGAATGTTGTTGACTGCACAGCCACGCCACTGGGTCGGAACATGCATGCACGAATACGTATACATTTCACATCAACAAATGCTGATCTTGAAAACAGGGCCGAAGAGATTATATATCATTCACCTCTCGTCTCGAACTTGAACCGGAAAATTCAACCAAGAAGCAAAATATCAGTAACGAATTCAGTCGTTATCTGGCCGGCGCATCGTTTATTCTTGATTCTTGCGGGTTCAATACCTTTTACTTTTATAGCATTCTTACGGCATTGAATATATTCCGAGATACCTAGCTGAATTTTCAAGCAAATCCACAAAACAATGTCATACCACAATAGAAACTCCAGCTCCCGCTCCGGCTCCTCTGGAATCGTGAAGGACATCCTCCGTGGAGCCCTTGACGCCCTCACGGAACCATCATCCTCGAGTTCCCACCCTTCTACCCCGAGGCGACACAAGAGCACTTCGAGACGAGATCGTGACCGTGATTATCCTGCCCCCCACCGGACAGCAACTCAGCCAGAATTTCGCCGCCACCGGGATGGCGACGAATACACCGGAATTCCATCTCACACATATTTCCAGCATGATGGTCCCCGATCATCATCCCGCTCAGGTTCAAATTCCGAGGAACTCAAAGAAATGCTAGGGAAGGCCGCGACTGAGCTCAGCAGGCTTGTGAGCGGGTTTGAGGAGAAGCTGAGAGTCAGGAAACAAGGGGATAGGGTTGATGCACGACCGAGCCAGTTCCGGGACGATGATGAGAGATTTGAGGTTTTGAGTGATTCTGATACAGATAGTCGTAGTCAGAATTTTCATGGCCAAAATTCGTATTCGCAAAGGCAACAACATCAGCAACAGCAACAACCGGCGAGTCGTGGGCTTGCAGATGAATATTATCATCCCGGACAACATCAATCCTCACCTGCCGCAGCCAATGCCGCATACTCTCCAGGCCCAATGTACCCTCCTCACAACAATACAACCGGTAGCAATGGTTATATGAATCCCCAACCTGTTGACCCAACTTATGCCAATTACCACAATCCATCCGATGTTCGGCCAAAGCCAAAGCGGTCCTCTACCTCCACAAGCCAAGCCGTGAAGAAGGTAGGGAACGAAATCCTGCACAACCTCCCGCAACTATTGGAGAGAGCAGCGTGGTTGCTGCAGATCCTCGACACACAACAAAAGCGAAGCGGAGGGAGCCGGAGTGTCACTGGTTACTCTGGCTTGTTGATCGCATTGAATTTGGTCATGGAGTTGTATAAGCAGTTTGGAGGTGAGCGGAGGTTGAAGTCAGAA